TCTTTTCAAGGATTTCCGTCTTTCCATTAATCTCTTCGTTTCCTCAGATTCCTCGTAAATTTAATATGTAATGAAAAGTTTTGGTCGATGGGATCTGTCGGATCTTCCGGAAAATCTGAAACACTGCGTGCAGCTATCGCTTGATCTACAGAAGCGCCCGTTAAGCTCATTTTCATTCACGATCCATTTTCAGCCTGATATATTTGAATGCAACCACCGGGCAAAACAGATATGGATACATGACCTGGCATTCTGAATCTCAGTACTTCGATGTAGAATATTATCGTGTTGTTTCCAATACTTTCCTCACCCGTTCTCTAGCAATAGCTGGCTTAGTTTACGTAGCACTGGCCCAAATACGGGGAGGGTTGGGATAGGAAGAGTTCTGAGTATATATCGCCTGGAGCCTTTTATGTGAATCCTGGTGGACAGGTGTGGTTTTATGTGGTGAAGGGATTGAAATGATTTGAGTTGAATTGTATGGCAGCACTTGAACACGAGAGCTGATATAAAGCTTAAACTCATTCGAAACGTGGATAAAACACACATCGATTTTGATATGGTCGAGAAATTCAATTGGCTGTCGATGAATTCAATAGTTCAAAAATATTTACAATTGTAGAAATAATCACTGGCAACAGAACAGACTAGAGACGCTTTATTACGAAGACACCTAAAGAAACTTGTCATTGACCATAGGTGATTGACATACGGTTAGAAAGATAGGTAGGATTATGTCAAATGCTTTAATGACTTAATTATCATTTAAAACATAATGATAATACAATCGCTCGCTAAACCGATATGAATGCACACAATATATACCCAAAAAACATCGCAAATCGCTCTAGGTCCTTCAACAGTGTGTGTAACTTCTAAGATATAAGCAGAGAATGTTCTTCACGAAAGATATGATCAACCACTATCTCTGAAGCTAAGAAACCCTCCTCCAATGGAATAATGAACGAACTCATTCAGAAAAACTGAGACATTTGAGATAATTTCGATAGCATTTTGCTCAAATTCACATCTCAACAATCCACATAATCGTCAGATGAATACCCAATATCATGGAATATTTTTGTCCGCATTACCCAGTAAAATCAATCATGTACTCAGTCTGTCACATGTTATCAGTTGTGCTCAATTAGAAGTGATAATCAATAAATCAATTATTCAAATTTGTATCCAGGCTTCGGTTTACGGCAAAGGACCATCTGAGTTTGCACAGCCGGTCCAACGATGATGTTCTCTTTACCGTTGAATGCTGAACTTGCTTTCTCGTTTCTGATGTCAACCTGAAAAGCAATTTCATCAAGCTGATGATTGTTATGCAACTCAACAAACTCAACGAACGAGACACACGCAAAGCCCCAGGTCAATGACGAGTGTTCCCGTAGATATAGTCATGTTCGAGGCGGAAGCCTCCTCTATAAGCGAATCAACAAAACTTCAAGCTCACGAACAAGCAGTACTTTACGTTGTACCTGATGAAGTACTCCAAGAAGCAATCCTCGGAACACCAACCCAGCCCGTACTAAACTCTAACAAAACATGGTTGCTTCACAATACCTTGCCAAGAATTTGCTTTCCTTCCCAAGTGATCACACAAGGCGAGATGATTCCTTTCGGATAATCCACATAGACCGGAATCCATTCCTTCTCACCGAAACCACCGCAAACAGAGAAC